CTTATTTTCTGTACCTTCTCCCCCCTTCTCCTTCTCCCACTCCCCTGTTGCTAACCCTCCATGTGAGCTTCATTTCTATGGTTCTGCTCCTGATCTAGCTGTCCTCTTAGTTTGCTTTTGTTTTAGGTGTGGCTGTTAATAACTGTGAGTTTGCTGTCCTTTCACTATTCATCTTTTTTATCTTCTTTTTCTTAGATAAGTCCCTTTAACATTTCATATGATAAGGGCAACATTTCATATGATAAGGGCTTGGTGAGGTGAACTTCTTGAATTTGATCTTGAATTTGATCTTATCTGAGAAGCACTTTACCTGCCCTTCCATTCTAAATGAAAACTTTGCTGTATAGAGCAATCTTGGTTGTAGGTCTTTGGTTTTCATGACTTGGAATACCTCTTTCCAGTCCCTTCTTGCCTGTAAGGTCTCTTTTGATAAATCAGCTGACAGTCTGATGGGAACTCCTTTGTAGGTGACTGTCCCCTTAGCTCTTGCTGCTTCTAGGATTCTCTCCTTCATTTTATTTATTTTAGATTTTATTTATTTATCTTTAGAGGGGAAGGGAAGGAGAGAGGGAAAGAAATATCACTGTATGGTTGCTTCTCATGCGATCCCTGCTGGGAACTGGCCCCTGCTGGGAACCGGCCTGCAACCCAGGCATGTGCCCTGACTGGGAATCGAACCGCGATCTTTTGGTTTGCAGGCCTGTGCTCCATCCACTGAGCTACACCAGCCAGGGCTCTCTCCTTCATTTTAATCTTGGCTAATGTAATTATGATGTGCCTTGGTGTGTTCCTTCTTGGTTCCAACTTCTTTGGGACTCTCTGAGCTTCCCGGATTTACTGGAAGTCTATTTCCTTTGCCAGATTGGGGAAGTTCTCTTTTATTATTTGTTCAAATAAGGTTTGCACTTGTGGCTGTTCCTCTTCCCCTTCTGGTACTCCTATAATTCGAATGTTGGAATGTTTAAAGATGTCCTGGAGGTTCCTGAGCCTCTCCTCATTTGTTTGAATTCTTGTTTCTTCATCCTTTTCTGTTTGGTCATATTTTCCTTCCTTCTGGTCTGCTCCCTTGATTTGAGTCCCAGTTTCCTTTCTATTACTATTGGTTTCCTGTGCATTTCCATTCATTTCAATTAGTTTAGCCTTCATATGTTCCTCTAATTTGTGACTGAAATCAACCAGTTCTGTGAGCATCCTGATCACCAGTGTTTTGAACTGTGCATCTGAACGTTTGGCTATTTCTTCATTGCTTAGATTTATTGGCTCTAGGGCTTTGAGTTGTTCTTGAGCCATGTTTTGATCTGTTTGTGCCTGTTACATATGAGGAGCGGAGCCTTAGTTGTTTGCCAGGGCGGTGCCACCCAGGTAGCTGGTTTGTGACACTGTATGTGGGGGCGGGGTCAGAGAGGGAGCCATGGCGGTCCTCTCTGCTTGCCTGATCTGCCTCACCACTCACCCCCCGCCTGTTTATCTAAGCGCAAATGTGTGAGCCTGCCGCCCTGTGCCAGGGCCTGCGAGGTCTGTCTTAATGCATGGCTCTTCACTGGTTTATCTGAGCGCAAATGTACGACCACAGCCAGCCAGCCACACAGCACCTTCCCTGGGTCCTCCTGTAGCTACCCTGCACCCCGGATCCGTACCCTCTGCTGCCTGCGTGAGCCCGGATTGGGGGATCTTTTCTGCCCAACCTGCTCCGCTGCTGGCTTCGTCCCTCTCACCGGTTTAGCTGAGCAGTTTGTTGTTTTTGGACTCCATATTGTTCGATTTTTCTGTGGTTTGGTTGCGTTTATTGTTGTTAAAACTTTGTTGTTTTTAGATTTGGTTGTGTGAGGAAGCAAAGTGTTTCCACCTACACCTCCATCTTGGGGGAACTCCTAAGCTGTGAGTCTTAAGAGAACCTTCTATGTGATCACAGGCCAAGAAGAAGGAAGTCTCTAAAATTGTACTAGTCCTTAAGGGCCTCAGTATCACCTCAGATAGCTGTAGAAGCAAGTTAGCTTTAGTGGGATCTGAAATAAGTGCTATGTGAATCCACTCAATTTTAGGCGTCTTGTAATTTGTTTTTGTTTTTCTTTTCTGGTACTTAATCAAATCTTTTCTCAATCCCAATAAAATAGTGAGGGATGGAAGAATGCACAGAATACATGGACAATGAAGGAGGCAATAATATAATGATGACAATATAACTTATCATGACGGGCACTGTTCTAATATTTCCAATTCACAACAATTCTAATGAGGCAGGTACTATTTTCCTGTTTTACAAATGAAGAAACTAACTGTAATTCGCCCATGTCACACATCAGATCAGTAATAGAGCTGGAACTTTAGCCTGGTTCTGAGCTCTAAATCCAATGCTCCTTGTTACAAGTCAAATAATAAATACTTCACACTCCATGAATTAGTGAGGAAATTTGGTTTGTATTCTTGCATGCCTTTTTCTATGAACACGTACACACACAAACACACATTTGACCTGAAATGTGGATTTCTCTTAACAATTTTCATGGTCATTTTTCCAGGACACTATGTACAGACAGAGTCATTCTATTTTTTTTTATTGTGGTAAACATAACACATTTATTATTTAAACCATTTTTACATTTACAGTTATATGGTGTTAAGTACACTCACATTGTTCTTCAAAATCATTTTTTGAAAAGATTTTATTTATTTATTTTTAGAGAGAGGGGAAGGAACGGAGAAAGAGAGGGAGAGAGCCCTGGCTGGTGTGGCTCAGTGGATTGAGCACCAGCCTGTGAACCAAAAGGTTGCCAGTGTGATTCTCAGTCAGGCACATGCCTGGGTGGCAGGCCAGGTCCCCAACCCTGGGTTTTGTGTGAGAGGCAACCACACACTGATGTTTTTCTCCCTCTCTTTCTCCCTATCTTCCCCCTGTCTCTAAAATAAAATCTTAAAAAATGAAAAAGCGTGAGGGAGAGATAGACTGGTTTTTTCATTCCTCATTCTTGATAGCATGGGGATATAGGTCATACTTCTTTAACTGCTTCCAACTCAGCAGGAATGGGGTACGTCTTTCAGTTAGAGGAGTGAAATTCTCTGGCTGCCTGACCTATGGGGTACCCTAGGTTCTGGGATTTCTGAGAACAGGAGTGTATAATAGTAAATGGGCATCACTTGTCAGACTGGTTCACAGTAGTACTGTGGATCTATTTCCTCTTTTTCGCTGGGTGGTATAATTGGCTTCATCTGAGAAAGCTATATCCTATCCACAGAGCTTTATCATATAGTTTTGGAGAAAAATGTGTTTAGTAATACTAAATGAGGACCTGTGCATATTGAATTCAGTTGATCTTTCAGGGATCCTGATTTCCAGGTTTTTAAATATACTCAGTTCCCTGGATCATATGGGTGTATCTGTTGGTGCTGGTAAATTCAAATTAGATTTAAGTTTTCAGTTACCTTTCCTAATTGGATAATATATTTAACAACCTGTTCTACTAATGGGTCTGGGCATCCTAAAATTTGGGAGGAGCCCCATGAATCCCTATCATACTCAAATTCAAAAGTACTTAATTTAAGCATTTCTTTAGGTGCTGAGGTGATCCAGGTCAGAGTAATGGGTAGTAATTTAAGCCAGGTCTCACTGGTTTCCTAGCATAGTTTGGGTAGGGTAATTTTGAATATTTTTCCTGAGGACTGTGGTCTCCATGAAGAATGGAAGGCCCACCTTATTTGGAGAGCCCACTGGTCCCTTTATTATGGCTACTGTGAAAGCTGCCCCACTGTCATTTTGAAAGGTCTTGAGGAGTCCAAACCCAGGTATTATTTTTTTAATCTGTGTCTATACAACCTCATTGCTCCTTTTAGTTCAGCATGGAACAAGGCTTGATGAGCAGATCGCTTGGGGCCTATATACCCATAGTTTACATCTTTCACAGACTGCGACTCTCCCACCCCCTACCCCTATCTCCAGTTTAGAAACATTACTCATGAAACTTTGATTCTGACCTCAAGAAGATACTGGAAACAGCTGCGGGCAGAGGTTGTTAAGATAATAAAATGGGAAAATTAAGGAGAATCAGCAATGTCATGAAAGGCTACTCATGTAAGGCATCACGCTGCTTCACCTCTTCTCTCCAGCCTAAGACACCCACAGTGGCAGAGTCACCTCCTACTACAATTACAGGTCGCTGTTCCTCTCAGCCCTCCAGCTTCAGAACTTCTAGAGAACATGGGCTGAAAAGGCCTCTGCAGGCTTATCCCCCATGTCCCAGGCATGTTGAATTGTGAAAGGCAGAGGACAGGCCCAGTACGCCTTGTTTAATAGTTTGGTTCACATGCCGCTATTCAGACCCACTCTGCTAAAAGAGGTTCTGGGTGGTGTGGCCTCCCCGCACCTGTCTCCCTTCTGGTGCACACCTGAGCAGTGCAGAGTTCTGTTCCTAAACACCCATAACTGCATCTGGCTGTGACAAAACACTGGGTTGCTCCACCTGCTGCTTCCACAGCAGGGCAAGTGTCCAGGTCAGCCCATCCCACTGCCAGTCAGCAGACTCCCAAAGCCGTAGGGGCATGTACCCTGGCTGAGTGGGGCCACTCCCCAAGGAGGAGACACAGCTTAGAAGCATCTAGTGGATACCGAGAGCAAGCTCTCTCACCTCAACCTGTTCCACCCCACAGCTTTGGAAGAGAGAGGAGAAGCTGCTCAGAAAAGAAGCTGAGGTCTCAAGAGTCTTCTTAGCTTGATTGGGCTGACACAAGGGAATGCATGACTGTGTACCTGCCCACTCAAAACTATCCTTGCAGATAAATGGACAGGGAACCAGTAAATGGCTTCTTAACAAATTTTTCATCACATTATGAGCAGTTCATTTCCCGATGTCGTTTCCACCTTCTTTCACACCATGTGGCTAGGAAGCCCAGACTTTTGGCTTCTGTTAATCAAAATATGTACATATGGTTGATTCTACCTACATTTTAAACAATTTTAAAATATATATGTATATATATTTATTGATTTTTAGAGGAGGGGAGAGAAAGAGAGAAACATCGATGTGAGAGAGAAACATCAACTGGTTGACTCCCTTACACACGCCCACCGGAATCAAACCTGCAACCTGGGTAATTGCCCCGACCAGAACCCACAGACGTTTGATACATGGGATGATGCTCCAACCAACTGAGCCACACTGACCAGGGCTACCTACATTTTAAAATCATAGCAGACTTTTATCTCTCTTTTTTTTTGGAGGGGCACCAATCCTATCAGGTAATCTTAGTTTTCTTTAATTATCAATATTCCTAAGGTATTTGACCTGTGTTACCACCCCTTTGATAAAATTTTTGAAATCACACCTGCTAAAAGAGTGTCTCTTTATATCAGTGAGACTCTTTGAAGAGATGTGGCATGTTATTTTTCCCCCCTTATCCTTCAGACAAAGGGAAGCAGTGGGAGTCTTATTAAGACAGCCTGCAAAACATGCTTCATTTTTTTTTGGCTCATAGATAAAACCAGTTTCTTACCATATAACCCCAAGCATGTATCTTTACACCAATAACCATAGACTGGCTCCTGAGTTTTATAGCCAAACCTTTGTTGCTCAGTCTTGCTTGTCTTCTAGGTAAGAGACCCTCTCTTCTATCCCAGATCACCTCCACTGGAAAGCACAAGGCCAGTCTGATGGGAACTTCATTGTTGTGCAGGGAACTGCAAGGTTTGGATGCCATTCCTATTTCGTATCATGAGTTCCACCTTGGCTGTGGGTACTCCAGAAGGTGTACTCCTCGGGTGGAAGCAGGGTGGGAATTGCAGGGAAGAAGCTTTTGTGTATAAAGTAAATGGTCTCATGGGATATGCTGAAACCTGAGGAAGCAAAGAAGCTGCACTTAGAAAACAATGCCTCCTGAATTCACCTTGGACAGGACAGGCAGTTTCCTACCATTGACTCATTCATTACATTAATTTGTATAAACACTTAATTTCTTTAAGTAAATAAACACTGCTCTTCTTTTTACCCATTTCTGGAGGATGCACCCCAAGGGGCTACATTCAGGCACCAAATTTGCATCCCCCCCCCAAGCCAGCACATTTACATACAAGACAAGCAAGGCAAATGCAAATGTACACAGAAAAAAAAACAAAATCCCCCTTTTATAAGACAGAAACTAGAGGGTGGTAGAGTCTATGATTTCATAACCTTTAGCTCACCAAAAACGCTATCAGTGACGCAGGGTTCCCTGACCACCAGAAAGCAAAACCAGAGATTGTCACTAGAGAATGTTTTGGGTTGCCCTACAGTGATTTCTCAACCCCCAAGTTAGAAGTAGGTGGGGCCCTAAATCTCATGTCACACAACCTGAAACCAAGAGAGAACCAGAAATTAAACTATCCTTCTGACAACCCTATATCCAAAGCAGGAATAGAAATACTAACTAAAGCAACCATGGGCTGACCTGCCCACTTCCCTTCTGAAGCACCAGAAAAAAAAAAACAACCCAGGTTCAAATGGCCGCTGTTTCATGGCGGAGGCAGGCCAGGCAGCAATTCCAGTGGTCAGCATCAAGCAGGAGTCTCCTACAGAATGGATCCCTCGTCCAGTGGAGACCTAGGCAAGTAAGCCTTGGACAAACTGCTGCTGCCGAATGCTTCACCGAGCATCCACACCAGGCCCAGAGGGAGTCCCTTTAGGAGAGTTCCATCTGAGTTGCCAAATGTGGTACTGGAACTCAGGGGGTTCCCCTCTTGGGATGTCCTGTTGCAGAATAAGATGTGGTTTTCATTTGATAATTTTATTTACTTGAAGCAAGTAAAGGAGACAGGGGACTCACACCCAAAGCTCAGCCTTCCTGAAGGGAGGCTTAGCTATCGCTTATATACACTATTTAGTCAATTACATATTGATTTTTTTGCAGTTAGCTACACTCGTTGAGTTCCTGTCAAGCATGTTCTGTTTAAAACTATATCTACAAAGTACTGTGCTACATTTTAACATTTAGCAAGATACCATTTAGTAAGAATTGCCCAGACCTTGAGACTCTTGTTCTATCTAACATTTATACTGTCAAATGAACTAAAAAGGAGTCTGGAGGCTTTGGCTAGAAATAAATGGCAAAGATTTATTTAAGGGATTAGGATTTGCAAACCAGAAACACAACTAGGCAATACCCAGTGTGTTCTGAGGAAGAAAGAAAAGCTAAGAGTTCTTAGAGTAAAGAGTACATTCTTCCCTTTCAGCCATAACAATTGACGGGAAGATCATAGTCTTAGTGCTCTCTTTCTTAGAGATTCACTGCATCCTTGGAGCTCCTGGTAGAAGAGGTTGACTAATCCAGCTTGTCTCTCTCTCGTTTCCTGATTGCAGCAGCCTGTGGAGACTGAAGTGATGCACTTCAGCAGCTCTAAGAGTGAAGTAGTCCTGGCTCCAGTGTCCTGAGGTCCTCGTGCCTGTCAGATGATAACTAGAGCCTGGCTCAGCCAGGATCCCCTAAAAGAACAGTGCCAGGTGAGTTAACTGAGAATGAGCAGTTCAGGAGGACCTGTAGCCAGGGGATCAAAACACTCAGGTGTTTCTCTTGATCGGAAACTGTCTTCCCTCAAGCCAGAAGAAAGCGCTCTCTGACTGTGGGGTCTGTGTGTCAGCCAAGCAAGGATTTGATAACCTACGTTACCTGCATGGATGAGCTTGAGTAAGAAGACAGAAACAGCTGCACAAGGATTGATGGGATGGCATTTGAGGATGTGTATGAAGTAGACAACAGTAGACACTTAAGTCAGACCTTCACTTCCTGCTGGATTTTAGCAGTTTCCTTTATGCTTTTAGATTTAGTTCTCTATTCCCAGCCTGAAGACACATCAGATACTGGTACAAATGTGATAAATGTGACTGAATATGCTGAGGAAATTTATCAGTACCTTAGAGAAGCAAGATCCTCCACCAACAAAAAGATTGTCATACTTGCTTTATTCTAGAACCAAACCCAAAATAACTCCAAGTTATACCTTTATCTTTGTTGAGACAGGTTGAGATCATTTTTGCTATCATGTACACTTACCACCTGCAATCCTCAGCTTTCTTCTGAAGGCTGGTGCTATTCCTCACTGATAGCATACCATTTGGGGACTTCCTCTTTAGACCCCTCCCCCACACTTCAGGAATCTTGCCCTGAACTCAGGGCCAAATATGCCCCTGGATGATTGCCAGCTTAGTCCTACTAGTATATAACTACTTGCTTTTGTTTCTAACTCAAGCTTTGTTTGCTCGGTACTTGAGGCTCCCCACCCCACCTTTTCATCTCTCTTTTTCCATTTATGTATGCATGTATATATTTTTGGCTTAGTGCATTTGGACTAACCTTCCACTGATACCTGATTTGGCCTTGGAATCCTTCCATGGTGAACTCCCTCCACAGGTAGCCAAAGGAAGATCCTGTTCTATCCCCTGCTAAACTGAGGCTGTTGGCATAGAAGTAGGAAGGGCGTTCTCTGTCTTTTGTCTTGCCCAATTCTGTTGCTCTGAGGGAGAATGGAGTTGCCCCTAGGAGAGAGAATGCTGAATTGGTGAGGTACTTGGGAGCATGTGACCCTGTCCTCAATGGTGTTGCCTTTACAATTCACAGAGACCTTACCTGCTTGCCAAGGTGTTTTGCCATATAGTACTTAGTTTTTCAGTCCTCGAGGCTACCCAATTCTCCAGGAAGCCTGAGTAGTTGGTGTTCTTACAGTCCATTTAACTGAAAAAGGCAGTCCATGAATGTGTTGCCACAATTCAAGGTCAGGCAGGTTTGTGGTATTCGTACAAACGGAAAAATATTCACAGAGCTGTTGTGATGCCTGGCATGCCTTTATTCATTGATGGGTGAGCCATGCACACTGCAAGCTGTGTGTCTGTCTGCATATCTCTGGCACATGTCATGGCCCCTGCTCCCCAGAGTGGCACCCACTGTGGCACCTGTCCCCTTGTGTGTGTCTCCCATCATCACCCCCAGCAGGGAGTCCCTACCAGTTTAAGTACTAGAGGGGAACAAAGCCAGAAAACGGCCAGAATATTACGTAACATAACATAATTCATACACAAGCCCACTCCATGTTATGGGAATGGTTTATCGAACCCAGTCTGAAGGCTATTGAGAACACTGGTTATGGTCCCAGTGTGCACTGGGTATCAGTGGGAGGTTAGTCCACATGCACTGGTTAGGGTCCCATAGGCCTCGCCAAGGCTATGGGACACAGCTTCCCTTAGTTCCCCAGACACCTGGGGAAGCTCCACTTATCCTACAATGAAGAGAAATGTAAAGAGATTTTGGTTTAACTGCAATGTAATTAACGGCCTGGCAGAGGACAACAGTACAAACCAGACAAGGTCAGGATCCACTGAGGTTGAGATCTTCTCATCCCCTGGGGAGCAGAGCTCTAGTCTTTGCCCCCAAACATGATCTGGAGTGATATTACCCTTTATATGTAATCCCAAAGGGTTTGTGGCATCTATCACAAGAAGGCAGTCTTACAGCCCTGGCTAGTGTAGCTCAGTGGATTGAGCGCAGGCCTGCAAACCAGAGGATCTTGGTTTGATTCCCAGTCAGGGCACATGCCTGGGTTGCAGGCCAGTTCCCACCCAGGAGAGGCAACCATACATTGATATTTCTCTCCCTCTCTCCTTCCCTTTCCTTCTAAAGATAAATAAATAAAATGTTTAAAATAAAATTTTAAAAAAACCAAGAAGGTAGTCTTACAGAGTGGTCACTCAGTATGTCCTGTTGGAACTTTCCTCTGTACTGGTTCCTACATGGGTTCCTTCCTTTCAGGCTTTCAGTTGGATTGGAGGCTTCAACTCAGTTCTTACAGATTAGGTTATGTGTTATGTGCAGGTTAAAACTGGTGGAATCTGTTTCTGTGGTTCCTTGACAACTACAACAGCTAGGATTCAGAGTAATGGGCAACCTTTCTCAAGAAAGTAATTTGGAGGAACAGTTGTGGTTTTAGCCCTGGCTGCACATTAGAATCAGCTGGAGCACTTTAAATCAACTGATGCCTAGACCCCACCCTAGACTTAAGTCTGAATCTCTAGGTTTGGGACAAGCCTTGGTTATATTTAAAAAACAGGGACTTATTGGGGTGATCACTTTGTAAGTGGTATAAACGTCTAATCATTATGTTGTATAGCTGAAATTAATATAATATATGTCAATTATTGAAAAATTTTAAAAATAATTTAAAGGATTTCCACCAAGAGGGAGGCGTAGGTGGAAACACTTTGCTTCCTCGCACAACCAAATCTAAAAACAATAAAGTTTTAATAACAATAAACGCAATCAAACCACAGAAGATCGAATAATTTGGAGTCCAAAAACAACAAACCGCTCAGCTAAACCAATGAGAGGGGCGAAGCCAGCAGCAGAGCAGGTCAGGCAAAAAAGATCCTCCAACCTGGGCTCGCACAGGCAGCAGAGGGTGTGGATCCGAGGTGCGGGGTAGCTACAGGAGGACCCAGGGAAGGTGCTGTGTGGCTGGCTGTCTGTGGTCGTACATTTGCGCTCAGATAAACCAGTGAAGAGACGTGCATTGAGACAGACCTCGCAGGCCCTGGCGCAGGGCTGTGGGCTTGCACATTTCCACTCAGATAAACAGGTGGGGGCGAGCAGTGGGATGGACTGGGCAAGCAGAGAGGACCGCCATGGCTCCCTCTCTGACCCCACCCCCACATACAGTGTCACAAACCAGCTACCTGGGTGGCACCGCCCTGGCAAACAACTAAGGCTCCGCTCCTCATATGTAACAGGCACAAACAGATCAAAACATGGCTCAAGAACAACTCAGAGCCCCAGAGCCAATAAATCTAAGCAATGAAGAAATAGCCAAACTTTCAGATGCACAATTCAAAACATTGGTGATCAGGATGCTCACAGAACTGGTTGATTTTAGTCACAAATTAGAGAAACATATGAAGGCTAAACTAATTGAAATGAATGGAAATACACAGGAAACCAATAGTGATGGAAAGGAAATGGACTCAAATCAAAGGAGTAGACCAGAAGGAGGAAAAAAATGACCAAACAGAAAAGGATGAAGAAACAAGAATTCAAAAAAATGAGGAGAGGCTCAGGAACCTTCAGGACATCTTTAAACATTCCAACATTCGAATTATAGGGGCACCAGAAGGGGAACAGGAACAGCCACCAGTGGAAAACTTATTTGAACAAATAATAAAGGAAAACTTCCCCAATCTGGCAAAGGAAATAGACTTCCAGGAAATCCAGGAAACTCAGAGAGTCCCAAAGAAGTTGGAACCAAGAAGGAACACACCAAGGCACATCATCATTACATTAGCCAAGATTAAAGTGAAGGAGAGAATCCTAGAAGCAGCAAGAGATAAGGGGACAGTCACCTACAAAGGAGTTCCCATCAGACTGTCAGCTGATTTATCAAATGAGACCTTACAGGCAAGAAGGGACTGGAAAGAGGTATTCCACGTCATGAAATCCAAAGACCTACATCCAAGACTGATCTATCCAGCAAAGCTTTCATTTAGAATGGAAGGATAAATAAAGTGCTTCTCAGATAAGACCAAATTCAAGGAGTTCATCATCACCAAGCCCTTATCATATGAAATGTTAAAGGGACTTATCTAAGAAAAAGAAGATAAAAAAAGATGAATAGTGAAAGGACAGCAAACTCACAGTTATTAACAACCACACCTAAAACAAAAGCAAACTAAGAGGACAGCTAGATCAGGAGCAGAACCATAGAAATGAAGCTCACATGGAGGGTTAGCAACAGGGGAGTGGGAGAAGGAGAAGGGGGGAGAAGGTACAGAAAATAAGTAGCATAGATGGTAGGTAGAAAATAGACAGGGGGAGGGCAGGAATAGTATGGGAAATATAGAATCTAAAGAACTTGAGACACGTGGTCATAAACTAAAGGAGGGGAATGGTGGGGGAGGGGGTGTGCAAGGTGGAGGGGAATGAAGGGGGAATAGAACAACTGTAATGGCACAATTAATAAAATATATATTAAAAATAAATAAAATATATTAAAATAAATAAATAATAATAAAAAGTAAGTTATCTTTTTCTCTCTCCAAACCCCAGTCCTACTTTCCAAAGTTACTACCAGTTCTTGCATACACCTCCTGAAAAATATGTCTGTGTATCTCTGTTTATCTATTTTTTTATTTAACACAAATAAGATCATTGCTTCTCAGCCTTTTGGGTAAGATCAAGTGTAGTAATACAAATAAGATCATATTGCTGTGCACATTAGTTTTTTTAAAAACAAAACACAGATCTTTCCATGTCCATATATGTAGTTCTACCTCATGTTTCAGTAACTGCATACTTCTCCATTACACAGATGTATTTAACCTGCTGGCTGATACATGTCTAAGTGCTTTCCAATGTTGCAGTAAACACTGTGCCCATGATTTTGGTGTAATTTTGTGGGAATATACCTTGGGTAAATTCCTAGAGGTCGAATTGTTGAGTCAGTGAGAACAAGCATTCAAAATGTTGACATTGCCTTCTAGAAGAGTTGAATGTGTTTACGCTCCCAGGAACACTGTAGGAGGGTGCATATTTCCCATAATCTTGTGAACACTGGGCATTACCAAACCTTTGTTCACCAATCTGATAGATGGCAAATGAAATTTCATTGTTTTGTGATGCATTTTTTAAATTATGAGTTCTTTAATTAATTGAAGACCTTTCACACATCTATTAGCTATTTCTTTCTTTTTTTTTAAATCCTCACCTGAGGACAAGCTTATTGATTTGAGAGAGAGGGAAAGGGAGGGAGAAAAAGAAGGAGAGAAACACTAATATGAAAAAGAAACAGCAATCAGTTGCCTCTCATATGCGCCCCAATAAGGGCGAAACCTACAAGCCAGGCGTGCATCCTGGCTAGCAACTGAACTTGTGACCTTTTGGATTATGGGACAATACTTCAACCAGCTGAGCCACACCAGCCAAGGCTATTTCTTTTCTTGTAGTTTACTCATATCCTCTGCCTTTTTGGTGATTAGTTTATGAGTCTGGGTGTTTGAACCATTGTCTAGTATCCCAGGAAACTTACTATATTAAATAACTCTGTGAACTTCATCTTTGCCCAAGTATGAGCCTTAACTAATCATAGAGAATTAGTGGCCCCTGAAAGTTCAAATAAGGAACTGCTCTTTGAGCTTCTGTTCACTGGTACTTGGCCCAACCAGCTGATCACACCCTACTTCTTGTGTGACCATCATCCCGAGAAAGAAACCCTATACCCATCAGCAATCTCTCTATTCCCTTTTCCTGTCAGCCCCTGGCCATCACTAATCTATCTCTGTAGATTTACCTATTTTGGACATTTCACATAAGTAAAATCATATAATATGTCATTCTTTGTGACTAACTTCTTTCACTTAGCATAAAATTTTCAAGGTTTGCCCATGTCATAGTATAATTTAGTATTTCATTTCTTTTTATGGATAAATAATATTCCATCATATGGATATACTACATTTGTTTATCCATTCATTTGTTTATCCATAGATATTTGGTTTGTTTCCACGTTTGAGCTGTTATGAAAAAATTGCTATGAACATTTGTGTACAAGTTTTGTATAAACATATGTTTAACTCTCTTGGTTAGGAGTAGAGTTGCTGGGTCACATGGCAACTCTATGTTTACAATCCTAAAAACTACCAAACCATTTTCCATAGCAGCCACACCATTTTACATCCCCACCAGCAATGTATGAGTGTCCCAGTTTCTCCATATCCTTGTCAACACTTGTTATTGTCCATCTTTTTTATCATAGCCATTCTAGTAAGTATGAAGTGGTATCTCACTGTGGTTTCAATTTGTATTCCTTTAATGACTGATGTTGTTGAACATCTTTGCATGTGCTTATTAGACATTTGTATATCTTCTTTGGAGAAATGTCTATTCAAATCATTTGCCCATATTAAAATTAGATTTCTTGTCTTTTTATTGTTGAGTTGCAAGAGTTCTTGATATATTCTGGATACTGAAACTTGGTCAGGTATATGGTTTAAATACTTTCTTCCATTTTGTAGGTTGCATTTTCACTTTGTTGATAGTTTCCTTTAATGCAGACAGGTTTTTAACTTTGGTGAAGTCCAATTTAACAATTTTTACTCTGGTCGGTTGTACTTTTGATGTACATCTAAAAAACCTTTGTCTAGTCCAAGATCACAGAGGTTTGCTCTTACGGTTTTTTTCCCTTTCCTTTCCTTTCTTTTCTTGTCTTGTCTTTTTTCTTTTCTTTTCTTTTTTGAGGAAGTTGCAGCTGTAGCTGACTGCTGTTCAGCCCACTTCTGCTCCTGGCTCACCACTGTTTGCTCTCACTGAGAAACAAGTCAGTCAGGAAGCCTCACCTCAGCAATGGCTTTTAAAGATATAGGAAAGACACCCATGGAACCAGAGGTGGCAATTCACTGAATTAGAATTACTCTAACCAGTTGGAATGTAAAGTCTTTGGAGAAGGTGTATGCTGACTTAATTGGAGGTGCAAAGGAAAAGGATCTCAAAGTGAAAGGATCTCAAAGTGAAAGGACCAGTCTGAATGCGTACCTAGACTCTGAAAATCACTACAGGAAAAACTCCCTGCAGGGAGGGTTCCAAGACTTGGGATCGATTTCAGATGAGGATCCACAAGCAACTCACTGACCTGCACACCCCTTCTGAGATTGTTAAACAGACTACTTCCATCAGTATTGTGCCAGGAGTTGAGGTTGAAGTTACCACTGCAGATGCCTGAATCAATCTTTTTAATAAATTAACTATCAGTTGTTTAAAAAATTTTGCTTTTATGTTTTTTTCTAGAAGTTGTTAGTTTTAGCTTCTATGTTTAGGTCTTTGATCAATTTTCAGTTAATTTTTGTGTATAGTGTGAGGTAAAGGCCCAATTTCATTCTTTTGCATGTAGCTATCTAGTTGTCCTAGCATGGTTTGTTAAAAAGACTATTCTTGTCCACATTGAATCGTCTTGGCACCTTTGTCAAAAATCAATTAACAGTAAGCCCTGAATGGGTATCTCAGTTGGTTAGTGCATCATCCCGACATACCGAGGTTTGATCCCTGGTCAGAACACATACAAGAATCAGCCAGTGAATGCATAAATAAGTGGAACAACAAATCAATGCTTCTATCTCCACTCCCTCTCCCCCTTGCTTTCTCTAAAATCAATAAATAAAAATTTTTTAAAATTTGCCTTCATATCCAAATTTATTTTTAAAAAATCAGTTGATGCCCTGGCTGGTGTAGCTCAGTGGATTGAGCCTGGGCCTGAGAACCAAAGGATTGTGGTTCAATTCCCAGTCAGGGCACTTGCCTGGGTTGCAGGCCAGTTTCCATCAGGGGACGCATAAGAGGCAACCATACATTGATATTTCTCTCCCTTTCTCCTTCCCTTCCCCTCTAAAGATAAATGGATAAAGTCTTAAAAAAATAAAATACAAAATAAAGAAACCAGACATTATAGCACCCACAACCCTCCTGTGCTCTCTTACTCTCTCTATTTCCCTCCCCAGGGAAACCGCTATCCAGCCTTTCAACAGCATAGATTAGTTTCAGCACAGTTTTTAAAAATAGACCAGAAATAGTATGTACTCTCATACCTGGCTTTTTTTTACCAACATCATGTTTGTAAGAATTATTCATATTGTTGTATGCAGTTGTCATCCATTTCCATTATCATATAATATTCCATTGTGTGAATATACCACAATTTATTGATCTATCAACTATGATGATAATATTCCCATTTGGGGCTATTGCAAATAGCAGGCACTATGTTTTATTCATCTTCATACCTCCAGCATTTCATACATGCCTGGCATAATGGCTTGTTTATAAACAGGTGAGAGAATTGAAGGGGTTCTTTTCCACTGTATTCTTGGATGGTCACATAATACCTGAAATATTAGATTCAATACTGGTACCGTAAACATTTTCAAATGTTTAAAAGGGGCCATTAATAACTTGAATTGACTATAGAAGGCAACCATGGTGGTTTATCTAGAGACCATGCAGTGACGGGTATGCTGGAAGGCTCTGAGAAGTTTATTATGGAAACAAAACACAGGGGCTCAGATGTGGACCAGGTTGTTTTGAAGACAACACTGGGCCAGTGGCTAAATATTTGGTGAGGCAGCTTTCTGCTCAATAGCAATCATGATACTGACTCATATTTGAAGACCACTTACCATATACCAGGCTCCGGCATGTGCTTAGGGCATGGTATCCATTATTCTATGAGCTGCCTAGTGAAACTGTGACCACTCCCTGGTGGTCGTGCCCCAGGGAGTCACAGTTACAACATCATGGAAAAGCCCTCCTATGACTTACTTGGCTCATTGCCCTGCTCACCTCCTAATAGAAGTGTCTTCTTTCCTGAGAGTTATATCCTGAAGCGCCTCCCTGGGTCCCACCATAGCAACCAAATTATCAAGTGTTTCTGTCAGGAGCTTCCTTCTACTCCCACCCACCCATCCTAGCCAGGACCCCTCCTCTCTTCTCCAGGATGTCTGTCCAGCATTGCTCTCTTCTTCCAGTCACTCAAAACTTTTACCTGCATGGATGATGTCTCTGGCTGGGGGTGCAGGGGCAAGGCCACAGCAGAATGACCCCTCAGGTAGCCAAGAGTCATTTTGGGTTATCCTAAAGTTTGTTCTTTTGAGACAAAAAGTGTGAGACAGGAGCAATGAAATTTAGAAAGTGCCTGAAAAAAAAAAAAAAGCCCTGTAGAAATTCTCTAGATGTATCTATCCAGCTTAGGTCTCAGAAAGAAGAAAAACCCGGACAAATACATCTGGGTTGCTGAATGCAAAAGGCATGTGTTAGGAGAAGCATAATGCTGTCATCCTCACAGGACAGGCTCTGCTGCTGGCTCTGGGACAGGACGCTCTATCTCACCATTGGCACCTGAGGCCGAGACCTGGCAGACACAGAATCACTAAAAAGACAGGGCTCTGAGTTAGACAAGCAGGTATTATGAAGTGCTGGCGTCTGTGTCCCCTTTCTCCCCACATTCTGTCCCCTGTCTTGCTTTCTCTGCTCCATTCCCTGCCCCAGAACTCTGCTCTCTCCTCACTCTTGTTTCTTCTGAATCCTTTTTTTTTTTGGCAGGAGGCTAGAGGGAGCCCAGGATTTAGGAAGCTGGACAACATGTGCCAGATCCCGGAAGCCTCGCTCTCCCCCACTCCAGCAACTATAATTCGTGTCTTCTATTTTTTCTCTCCTGCCAGACAAAGCCAAACACACATCAACAGTGTTAACACAATAAATGTCAGCAGCCCTGACCTTTCTCTCTGGACCATGCTGTGACTTGCTTATACGGGCACTTAGAGAGGATTAGCACTGACCTGAGGCTGCGGGCGCTGCACTGAGGCTCGATGGGAATCAAAATACAGTTTACCTTATTTGACTTAAAAATTTTGTACTTGAAAGATAGAATCCTCTAGAGTAATACACGGGGACTTACACATACACAACTTTAAATTGGATTTTAAAATTAGTTTGCCAGCCGTTTGCTAGGTCGTGCCTCAGGTTCTCGTGCTTGATTAATATTGGGTCCGTTTGGGAAATGAGGCCAAGAGGGGCAGAGGGACTGCCAAGGCCGTAGGATCCTGGATGCCTGGGGACTTTCCCAGGAGCCCTGGCAGTTGTTGCCATGGGCCTTTAAAAACCCTCAGAACCCTGGCACCACAGTCTGTGTCTTGCCCATGGAAATTGACAGAGCCCAGACCACCTCCCTGACACCAGGCTGCACCTCATCCCCGCACAGCCTCTTCTAGACCAAGGTCTAGGGGGGAAAAAAGAGAGAGAGAGAGAGAAAGAAATTAAGGAGAACTATGTTCAGCTAGATCTTTTATACTTTTTGTGGCAAAATATTTACTTTAGTGCCTGTATTTACCACCTTCAAATGAGGCATACATACATGCTCAGAATTCTCATCTTCCTCCTCTATTCCTGCTTGATGGTTCTTTATCTTTGAGGTCTCAGCCAGAATGTCATTTGCTCAGGGAAATATGAGGGGCAGCAGAGTATGGTGCTTAACCACAGTAGTGTGTCGGGGCTTGAATCCTGGCTCAGCACTTCCTGGCTGTGTGACCTTAGACTAGTCACTTAACCCCTCCATGCCTTAGCTTCCTGATCTGTGAAATGGGGATAGTGACAGCTCTTACCTCATTAAGGTTATTGTGACCATTCAATGACTCAGCATATAGTGTATAGAATAGGTAAAGTGCTTAAAACATGGCCTGGCATATAATAAGCTCTGCCCTTACTACTCTACAGTACATCTCCCAAGGCTCAGTTGCCTGTGATGGTTTGTGCTATTCCAGCTTCTTGTACTTCTGTGTACTTCCTGACCTCCTTTATCTTTATTGCTTAATTTTCTGTCTTCATGAGGGCAGGACCCACTGTCCATTCCTTATGACCTAAACTGTGCTAAGCCTATGTCCAATCCTTACAATCTAATCTGTTCGCAAGAAATGTTTTTTTGTTAATTTATTTATTTTGTAAGAAATGTCTTTTTTAAAGATTTTATTTATTTATTTTTAGAGAGAGGGGAAGGGAGGGAGAAAAAGAGGGGGAGAAATGTTAATGTGTGAGAGATACATCAATTGGTTGCCTCTTGCACACTCCCAGCTGGGGATTTGGCCCACAACCCAGGCTCATGCCCTGACCAGGAATCGAACTGGTAACCCTTCGGTTCACAGGCTAGCACTCAGTCCTCTTAGCCACACCAGCCAAGGCAGATTTGCTTTTGACTATAATAATAAATGAAATATTAAAAAGAAGAAATGGGCCCTAGCTGAGTGGGTCAGTTGGTTGGAGCCTTGTCCCATACACCAAAAGTTTGCAGGTGTGATCCCCAGTCAGGACATCAACCTAGGCTGTGGGTTCCATCCTTGGTCAGGACACATACGGGAGGCAATCCATCAATGTTTCTCTCTCATATCAATGTTTCTCTTTCTCTCTAAAAAAATCAATAAACATATCCTCCAGTGAGGACTTAAAAAAAAGAAGAAGAAATGGTAAAAGGCAAATGTGATCCAGAAGACAGAGAAACCTGAAGTTCTTGGGTCACTTTTCTTCATCTATTAATATATCTTTTTCATCTGCTTGGCCTTTTCATTTTGTTTGGCTGTTAAACGAAGAGAGAGTTAACGAGTTTCAAGTTCCAGAATTATGAGGATAAGGCTTTGTAATTACGTCTTTTGTGGGAGACTTCCACCCCTATCTAGTTTTTCAAAATCTAATTAAATATTAAATGCATATAAAAAATAGGTTATATGAGCAAAATATTGTAAAATGCACACCCAAATACTTATAACCCAGCTTAAGATATAAGTAAAACCCAAATTCCTGAATCCCCCTTGTACCACTCTCCCCACCCCAGCCCCACCTAATTTTTGTTGATATTCCTTTGTTTTTCTTCATATACTGCCTTAAAAATACCTGTTCCTGAACATATGCTAGTTTTGCATGTTTTTGAACTTTGTGTAAAATAAGTCATGCAGCATCTATTCTTTGATTTGCTTTTCCCACATGGCACTGCTGGTGTCTGTGGCAATTGTCTATGCTGTGGCATATAGCTGTGTAATCTTCTACTGCGAATACTCTGTTGTTTTCTTCTTCATTCTCTCAATGGCTGTGTGGGTTGTTTGCAGTTTTTTGCTATTGCTGGCAGTGCTGCTATGACATTCTTACATGTAACAACTAAGGCCTATGGTCGAGATCTTCTTTGGGGTTTTTTCCTGGATTCTAAGGTTTATACATTTTCAACTTATCTAGGTAATGCTAACTTGAATCCTCTTTCCTGCTGTGTTCATCTTATGGTTCTATCAGACCTGTCAGAAATGGGCTTTGAACTTGCCCTGTGACGGCCCCCACTTCTGGGCTCAAGCGCCTGGGCCGCTTAGAAAATACCCCCTTGTGACTTGAGTGGGTTTCCTCTGGCTCACAAGCACCACTCAGAGCTCCACAGACAGGAGCAAATTCTGTTGCCTCAAAGCTCTCTAAAAACCAAACAGGGATCTAGAAAGAACATTCTGATCAACTCATTTCTTATGGTAATAAAGGCTTTAATGTTTCTTCACCTAAATGAAAGTGATACTAAAAACATTCATTTCCAGGCCCTGGCTGGTGTGGCTCAGTGAATCGAGCGCAGGCCTACAAACCAGACAATCGTGGTTCAATTCCCAGTCAGGGCACATACCAGGGTTGCAGGCCTGTTCCCTGCAGGCCCGTGCCCAGCAGGGGACGCACAAAAGGCAACCATACATTGATGTTTCTCTCCCTCTCTCCTTCCCTTCCCCTCTAAAGATAAATAAATAAAATCTAAAAAAAAGAAATAGCATAAAAAAAAACAACATTCATTTCCACCCTAGCCAAGTGGTTCAGTTGGTTAGCACATTGTCTTGTACCCCTTTTCTTGTACCCCAAAAGGTCGTGGGTTTGATCCCCTGGTCGGGGCACAGAGGAGGTGGCCAATCAATGTTTCTCTCTCTCTCTCTCTCCCCCTCCCTCCCACCTTCCTTCCTTTCCAGATTGTAAGCAGGAATCATACCGTGTATGTAGGTCAGTACCTTCCCTATCTTCTGTACCAATAAATGTTGCATTTTGTGATGTGGTCATGAATATGATAATGCAGAGGATAAAAAAAACAAATAAAAGGATAATATCCTCTGTTTCAGATTAGGCCTTCCTCCCCCACTCACACCCCAAATTCTGCCATAAAATACTCAGCATAACTCTATCCTATTCTGCATAAAATAAGGAAGCAAAATTCTAGGGAATAGAGAAGTTGAAAAAGCAAACTAACACATTTTTTTAAATGACTCAGATAGCCTAGGGAAGATAAATAAACAACTTGGACCTGAGACAAAAGGGAAGCAATCCAGGTGCTTCTGAGTCTGAGCCAAGCCAAAACCTGACCTGGATAGCCAAACCGGCAGCTGCTGCTGGACCAAGTATGCAGGATGAGTTGATAATAAAGGAAAGCTGATTACAAAAGAAGAAAGTGCAAAATTAAACCTCAGTGGTCATCTCTGACATACTGGTGGGTTAATATTGCATCAGCTGAAATGTTTTTTAAAAATGCCTCCCCCCCGCACACCTTTAGTAAGTAGAGTGCGACAAACGGTTGTAAAGGCCAAGGGCCTTGAGTAGAAACCTCATCTGATTTGGCACCTGTGGGGCCATGACAGTCACCTCACAGTTGTGTAAGCTTCTTGTTTTGAAGGGTAAATAAACTGTGTTTAAAGGGAAAACAAATATTCTGGGGAGAACTTGCCTTTGGTAGGAAGTGGAACCACCTATCCTAATTCATGGGTTATAAGAAGTGGGGAAAAGTGGGAACAACTGTAATAGCATAAACTATATATATATAAATATTTGCATAAACTATATATATGCAAATATAATTTAAAACAAATAATTGCAGACAGCTGTACTTGAACAATAAAATTAAAATGTAAAAAATAACAAATAAAAATGCAAAATAAATAAAAGAGTAAAAAAAGTCTCCCTCTCGCTCTCTCTCTCTCCCCCCATCCCACCCCCACCTCCTCTTTCTCCCTCTCTTTTTGAAGTCACTTCATCAGTCCATCTTGCCCATCTTTGCAAAGCCCATCCTGGTAAACATTTACTTTCACCTCAGGACTCTTTCTTAACAATGTATGGTGGTTTTCTGTTTCCTAATGCATGGAATATAAATGTCATCAAGCCTGGCTCTGAGGCCCCAGCAATCTAGCCCCTTTCTATCTTCCTGAAGTTCTTACCCTGCCATACAGCTAGCCCAGTCCCTGCTGAGTGCACTGAGCTCTTTCTCTCAGCCTGAGGCAGATAGTATCTTGCACAACCAGAATGGAGCTTTGCGGGAACCACTCATTTTGGTGATTATAACCTCCTCTTGAAGGATTTTCAGTGGGTTACACTCAGATCCCTGGCTCAAAGCTAAAGGCTAAAGTCCTCAAGGGCAAGGACTTGTCTTATTCACTGCTGAACTCACTTCTGTTTCTGGACTGCAGCCAGCTGGACCAGCTAAAACTTCCTCGATGCTAGGGTAATCAGACATGTGGCCCTTTCTCTGCCTTGTCCCTCAGTGATTTTCCCCCCAAACCCATGCCATCCCTCTCTCAAATCAGGTCGGTATTCAGTGCCCTCACTTACCCTAATTACATGAGAATAATCTGAAGTGATGGATTTAAAGAAGCATTGGGGGACCTATTACAAAATAGCCTGGTTTCATTTACAAGGGACTTTCACTGTTATCTCATATGTAAG